GTGCCGCGGCCCCTGCACACCCTCATGCACGGCCAGGGCGTCTGCACAGACCTGGCCGACGTCGAGGCCATCCAGGAGAGCCTCCAGCCACAGGGTAAGGCTGGCGCCGGGCGGCCGAGGGGCGAGGGGTGGGTGCCGGGTTGCCGGCGGTGCCCCCGAGCAGCCCCCGTTTGTGCCGACCTGCTCTGTACTTGGCAAGAGTTGGGGCTGCAGGGCTGGGAGCGGGGTGGGGGGCTCAGCAGGGACCCTGCAGCGGGACGGGACGGGGCAGCCTGGGGATGGGCGTGCACGGGGTGTGTCCCAGGGAGGGAGCAGTGCTGAGCTGCATGAGCTCCCACAGCCGGGTACCAGCGGGTCACATTTGTGCCATCCTTATCCACCGCTGGCACAGCAGTGCCACGGCCGGTGGTGCCGTGCATGCTGGAGTGGGGTGCTTCCGCAGGGACTCAATCACCCGCCGTGCCCTGGCTGCAGAGTGCCCCTGGACGGCAGGGCAGCCCAGGGTCCCGCAGGCACCCACGGCCCCTGGGGACAGGTCTCAGCTGCCAGGGAAGCTCCCGTTGCATGGTGACTCCTGCGCTGCCCCTTTGCGGGATGCTGCCGGCAGCTCTGCCTGCACTGCCAGGAGGAAACAGGAAAGAGGCCTCGGGGCACCTGCTTCCGTCGCAGGCAGGTCAGGCTGGGCTCTGTGCCGGGGCTCTGCCACGAGCTGTGTCCTTCCCGCAGCCAGGGAGGGTAGGGGGGTGTGGGCAGCAGGCAGGGCCAGGCTGGAGAAACCCACTGCCTGAGGGCTCTGTCCGCGCCTGTCTGCCCCAGGACCCTCTCGCAGGTGTTGGTTGTGGCCCCCTGCCACCCCTGTGGTGCTTGGACAGGGCCTGGGGGCCGGGAGCGGAGCTGGTGGTGGGAGCCCAGTTCCAGAGCTGCGCAGGTCGCACCACGGCTTTGACAGTGAGAATGGAGCTGCTCCCGGGGGCAGAGTGTGGAGACCTGGCCCCTGGGGCTGGCCCATCGGTGGGTCTGGATGCCATGCTCCCCCTTCCCTCTCCCACAGGCTGCGATGGGGACCATGTCCCCTGGGGCTGGGGAGTAGCATCCCGCCACAGGACAGTCTGTGAGCTGGCCTGGCCCTGTGTCCCCACGTGGGGTCACCCAAAGCTCCCCAAGGGGCAGAGGGGGCTGGAGCAGTGTCTGTCCCTGTCCGCCCCGAGGGCTGGATCCCAGCTCCGTTCCCTCCTCGCATGGCTGGTCCATGGCAGCTCTGCTGGTGTCCCCACGGTGAGGAGGAACCTTCACGGATGGGCCACTCCGGCCGTCCCTCTCCAGGGACAGGAGTTGGTCACGAGTGCTCAGCATGGGGTCTGCTGTGGAGACCCCCTGCCCTGCCTGTCTGTCCTCATCCCACATACTGCA